CCCCAAAACCCCAAAACCCCAAAACCCCAAAACCCCAAAACCCCAAAACCCCAAAACCCCTATTTTTATTTTAACAATTGATTTTACTAAAATTAGTATTATCTATGTCCAACTATTTGGAGATTAGGATCAAAGGAAGCATTTCCAAATTTTGCATCATTCTGCTTCATCCTTGATTTCCATGGTGCTTTAAACGTCAACTTAAGCGCATTCAGATTCTGTGATTTTTGCTGAAATCCTAACTCTCAAGAATTTTCTATACAGTTATTTCTTAGTCATAGTACTTTTACGATGCCTAGCCTTTGTCGCTTCCAAAAATCATGAAGGAATTTTCGATGATAATGCCAAAGTTTTAGGATTTCGATATTGTCTTACTATCTTCTGCTGAGTTTGTGGCATTTCATGATTAGCACTAGTATTGTGCTTCCTAATCTCAAACGATTTTGAAGAGTTGGAGTTTCTATATTTTCATTAATACCCAATTTTCAAAAGAAAGTTAGTCCACAAAGTGTTTACTTACAGAAAAGGATCGTCTTGGTTCTCCCCATAGCTCATGTTTCTGATGCTGAACTCCTTATCAAGGGACTTATTCTTGAAAGATTCTTTGTAATTCTTGACTTTAGTTTCAGAGTTGTAATAACTATTTATCTCTGGTCTATGCATAAGTTTACGGCTTGTCTTACTTCACGGGGATACCTTTGGAATACTCATTTTTATCATTCTTGAAAATAGCTGTATCTTGGAAGCTCTACAGAGTCAGGATAATGTTTATATACCATGTTAAGGAGATCTCTGTGCTTTATACCCTGAAATAAATCATTGTTACGCTGAGATTTTTGATCAAATACTTGTGGCTTTCTCTTCTTAGGGCTATGCAGATCGCTTTTGGATAATCCAGGAATATTGACTGAAGAGAAAATCCCCTTTTTGATTTTCTGAGAGTTTAGACTTTCCATTGCCTTTTTGGAAGAGTCTATACTCACTTCGAATTGTATGTTTTGATCACTCTCTCTCTTTTTGGTTGAGGCTGAAGTTGTCTTAGTCAGATCAGACCCACAATTCTTGTATGGACATTCCTTCATTGAAGTATTATTTCCAGATTTATTAAATGTCATACTCAGAGGGTCGCTTTCCATCTCAGGAGAGGGTAAGAACTCAGTCTGCTGTTTAAAAATTCTCTCCTTATTTCTTAAAGGCTTAGCTATATTCTTCATTGGCTTAATGGCTTGGTTCTTGTATTCATTTATATTTCAAAATGCTTTTCCATGCTTGCTTTTGATAATATTGACTTTAGGCTTGCTCCTGGTCTTGTAATTCTTCTCCTGCTTATATTTATCTAAAGAGGATGCCTCAAGACTCTCAATTCTTTGGGTATTATCTCCAAACTTGTTCTCTCTGTCCTTAACCAAGTTCCAAACAGGTTGCCCACTAAGAAACTCGAGGTAGTACATTTTCTTGCTCTGATTGTCAGGATTCACAGGTAGAATAGGTCTTTGCTCGAAATTTTGTTTGCTAAAGATCCTTCTTCCATTATTGATTCCATTGACCCTCTCTTCAGACTTGACTTCTCTCTGTTTGTACTTTTTCATGATTTTATCTAATTTTTAAGGGAGAAAAGATACCTTTGTGCATTTTAAAATTGTTAAAAAGCATAATGTTTCCTCCTTTATATTCCTCTTCACCCGGAGTGTAATGAATATTCCCGTTGCTAGAGATATATTAGCGGAGCTCCTACCTCCTAGCTTTTCTCTTGACATAAGCCTGAGCTGAGTTGGACCGTAGTTCATCAATATTTGCTAGAACATGGTTGAAATGGATGGGATTTTAAGCCTACCTTGTAAGTAATTTGGCCTCACTCTTGACTCTTGAGACCCAACATTCTTGATAGGTTCATCTAATTATGTTTATTAGAAACTTCAGAACCATATTTATCCGATCCTTAGGAATACGCCAACAAATTTTCAAGTAAGGCAGCCCAGAATATCTTCAGGAAAGCCATCAGATTCGTAAGTGGGTAAACCATTAAGAAATAATTTGCCCTCGAAAAGAAAGTCAGGAATTTAGTAAAACTTTGAATACGTTGACTCTGAACTTACTCGAAAGATTCCTTCTAATATTTCCATCGCTAATATTAAGATTTCTCCTGCTGTCTTTCGCATAATCGAATGAGGAATTTATCAGCTCACTATTATTAAGATTACTATTCCTCTGCTGGTTATATTCGCGAGGGAACTTCTCACGCTTAAAATTTCGAAGGGCATTATCAACGGACATATCCTTAATAATCTGGAAGTGGTTCCTCCCAAAGTTCTTCTTGTGTAGCCCTATTTTCACTGTGATTAGTTTTGAATAATTATAAATTATTAAATTCTTCGATTTGTAAGTTAGACATAGGCTTGTGGTATTAGTAAAGAGTCTACTTGGGCGACAAATGAAAGAAGAGAATTTTAGTATAAAGTCTGAAGTTAGAGGTTTGAAAATGTAGTTTAGAATTGTAATAGTGTCTCCGAATACTATGAGAAAGGATACTAGGATCCCTCTTAACGTTCTACATTTCGTGTACTTTTGCTACTAAGGGTTATTTTAATCAACTATTCATTTAAAATATATCAAATTCATAAATTCTTGAAATTTCTCAGCTCCTAGAATGTCAGAGAAGCGACTGCAGGGCTTACTGTAGTTCATCTTTGCCGTATTGTTGGAAACAATATTTATTCAATAATTTTTTAGCCTCTAGGGGTTTTGGGGTTTTGGGGTTTTGGGGTTTTGGGG